CCCAACCTTAGCCTTTGTCAATCTTCCTGGTTCTTTCATCTTCAAATTTCCCTGTTAAGTTTATTGGGAACAAACAGAAGTGTGCCATCAAGGGCACTGTCAGACCTCCCAAGGTGTGCAATGCTATACAATTTCCACTCCATTCTTTTCCCTCATAAACTCAAAAAGAGCTCACAAGAAGATCTCTTACTAAGACTTAGTGTCAATATGAGCACAGGCCTAGCTGACAATCCCTTACTACTTCTGCTGTGGAAAGGTACGCGCTATAAAATAAATGTCAGCGAGGACAGTAGCATCCTGTGATGTATCATAAATTTGGAAAGCAATATGGCTTCTAAAAACATAGAAAAGATAGGCAAACAGCATCATCACCTCCTCTACATGCCTATTCATGTAAGATGAATAGAGGAAAATATATTGGTCTGAACAAAATAAATAACATTTTAAAAAAGCATCGCTTACATATATCAGAATATAAGAGGAAAAGTATTAAGTGTAATTTATTGTATGCATAATGTTCCATCATGTTGTAAATAATGCCATGATAGTATATTGCTGTAGTTTGTTCTTGGCTGGTGATAGAGTTCTGTCATAGCGCTGCGTAAACTTTTATTTTTATTTTTTTTCCAAAGTGTAGTTAGTAAAGATGGCAGAGAGCACCCAATACTCTGTTTTCCGAGTTGTTCTAGAGCAAGAAGAAATGTGAGATGCAGCTTTTTTTTCTTTCTTTCTTACATAATAGTATTTCTTAAACAAGGTAAGAGAGAGATGAGATGAAGGCTAAGCTGCCACTACCCCCATACGAAAAACACCCTGTTTTCTAACTACCAACAAGAGGTAGTGCATTTTTGGACCACAACTCAGATTACCCGTTCCAGTGAGAAGGGATGCAAAGTACCAACAATCTGGTAACAGCAGCTTTCTGGCGCCATCAGGTACATCCTTTGCTCACAAACTGAAACACAAGAAAAGAGTTGTTAGACCTAAGACCTAATCTCAGGCCTTACCAGTTTTGCAGCCTTCTGCTTAAATAGCAAAGTAAATAATTCAACTTTGAACCAGGCAGGATAATATGAAAGCCCCAAGCATCTTGGCTAGATCAGCTTTGGAAGGGAGATTATAGTTTCAAGTCCTTCAACAGGTTATGGTAACAAATCAACAGCATTGCAAATGTAAAGCGCATTTGTCACTGCAAATTACCCAACAAAGATGGAGAGTCTTTTTATTTTTTTTAAAAAGTGAGCTGCTTCTAGTTTTTACTGACAACATTTCTGGTGATTCCTCTGCCCAGCACCACTGAACATTGTACACACACACAACCGGCTGGAAAGCCAGCCTGAAGCACAAATCCCTCATAAATAAGAGGCACTTGGTCTCCTTACATGCAGAAGCCCATATGCAAGCCACAGAGACGAGATGTGAAGGGTCCTGCAACTTTGCACAATACAGGAGAGAGATGTGCGTTCTATTGAGGTACTCAGCAGCACTTTCCCTTCTGTTAAGCAACCTTTTGTTACATTTGTATTGCAAACAGATCAAAGCAGAATTAATTACAAAATTATTTTTTATGCTAATTGGAGGATTTCTAACATTTTCTTGTGAAGCACTAGATAGAAACAGTCCTGGATCCCAACTGCATTCCTTCATCCTCCACCTCCCTTAAATGTTGTCAATAAAAACACTAACCTTTCTAGGTAGCATGGTGAGAAGACATTACGTGATGAATATTAAAATAAATGCATGAGGTAAATCTGCTGTTATTTCTCATTGTTATATGAAGCATGTATAACACTAATTTAAATGTTGGCAACCAAAAAAGTGCAAAGGAATAAGATAACGGTGTTCACTTCTGGTTAAATGAAAGACAAGAACTTGTTTCTGTGTTTTCTTCTTAACATGGCATTTTTTTCTTTATCATCATTTCCCATAGCTTATATGAATTTGGAGCTGGTGAAATATACATCTCTGCTGTATGTGTCTGTCACCAGATCAAGAGGAAAATATAAACTTTTTATAATTTTGTACCTGTAGCAAACGTTTGTATTTTTTGAATTGGAAACTAACTGCTTTTTGTCTTTTTGTCCAACTAAAAATTTGTGTATTATTATTATTACCCTTTTGGAAAACCTGACATATGAGTTTATGGTGTTTTACAGTTTCTAAATAAATTCTTAAAACATTGCCAACAAATTCAGCATCAGTACCCTATTTGTTATTACAAATTATTATTAAAAAATATTTTGTCATAATATAGATGAGGTACTCGCACAGAATGCATGCCTAACTCTAGCTGTTGATACCTGCTTTGTTGCCACAGTCAAGAATAATCTGGTAGCTGGAGAAAGCCAAGAGTCCTCCCTCAGAGCAACTGTCTGTGCCTCAACTTCAGATGTGTCACGCATTCAGTGACATGAAACACCTCCCCTTCTCAGCACCACTCCGCTAGCTCTGGCTTATGGTGGTTATGGAGTACCTGGGGATGTGTTATTCAGGTCCAACCCATCTTAGCCACCTTGGGTGATTTCCCAATCTCCAAAAATTTTTGACATTGGAATAAGCAGAGCCTGGAAATAACTGTGACACCAGTAGGATCCCCTTGGAGAGGCCTTCAGGTAAGTGCCAAAGCCAGACTGGGCAGGCGGAAAGCTTGTCTGGGCAGGAAAGACACCACTTTGTGAAACGGTTTAAAATTACATATCATCTCGGAGTTGCACACCTCTTACCAAGCAGACGCCTTCTGGGGGACTGAGCACTGCTACAGAGGCAGCACACTCAGCCCCTGCAAAAATGCACTCATCGAAGCTCTGTGACCATCCTAGATGTCTGCTAATAAAGCAGAACAAAGCATGCCGACGCACTGACTGCAACGCCAGGGTGAGAAACAGAAACCTGGCCAAAACAATCAGGAATAAATACAGACAAGAGTGTGGAGACACCACCCATGCATACACACCAATGTTAAGTACCAAATTTTTTTCAGCTCTTCTTTAACAGAGCTTACAAGCTTGAAACCAGGACTGCAAAATTTAGATGCTCCATTCTGACCAAGTTTCCCTCCTAAATAGCTTTTGGGAGCTGTAGAAGTAGAAAGTGAACCTTTTAAATTACCAAAGCTGATTGAGGACATAAACTCCCAAAACATGTTACACCCAAAGACAGCTGAACAAAACTTTATCTAGAAGTGAGCACTGAAAAACCGAGCTCAAGGTTTATCCAGGAATTAAAAAATACAGGTTATCCCACAACATCCAAAGCCCATCTGTTGCCTCAACAAGTCTTGATGCTCTGTACTCAATCCTGCTTAGTGATTACACCTTCACATGCAATCATGAGTTAACATTCTCTAAGTCTGCAACCAGATAGGATTGTTAATTCCAGTTTGAATCTGCATACCATACCGAATAAGAAGAAATCTAATTACACAATTATGAAATATGAGAACACTATTTAGCAACCCAATGCTGCACACCCCTCCTCTTTCCACGTGGCTCCAGAAGCACTCCCTTCTGCTTTTTACCTGGATCTCATTCCCTCTGAGCTGTCTCTCTCCTCTTAGTCCTCTCTGTGCTGGCAGAGCACTTCTCCAGGACCGGAAAGTAAGGTGGAAGGTGTGGGTGAAGGAGCATGCCAGAGAGCATCTCTTTCTTTGGCATGGCTCTCCCTACCCCAGAATACTTTCCTATCCTGTGAAGGGGGCAGCCTCCGACACTGCTGCTTGGGGAGAGGAGAGGACTATGCTGCTGTTCTCCTTGCTATCTGCAAGCTGACACAGACCTCACTGCGTGCTCAGGGTTAGGGATCACCTTTTTCAGGCTCCCAGGTGGCAGCCAGGAAGCATGCTTCGCTTCCCCAGCCTGCAGGAGTGCGTTGAATTTCACCAAGAAGGTTCTCCAATAAGGGCTGCTTTCCATCCTGTGCACATGTGCTTCACTGCCAGAGCTGTTGAAACAAGCTCCTGATAACCTTACATATAAACAACACAGCATGAACTTTTTCCTCTGTTATTTAACAGTTAACCTGATTTTTGCCTCCCCCTAAAATATTCAAGTTTCTTTAGCCTGAGGCAGAATGGAGAGGATGGAAAGTTACTAACCATTGTAATTTCTAATGGAAACATCAACCTTAAAAACAAAAAATACTTTGCTACAGAGGACAAAACTCTTCTTTCAGAAACACCAAATTGCTGAAATCCAACTAGCACTAAAACTTCAGTTTTGACAAAGATTTAATAGAAAAGCCATATGAGACATGGGAACACTGATCAAAACAAACATGAGTTAACCATGAACAACTATTAGCTATTCAGTGTCTATGCCTCCTTTGGCTCAATATGACATGTTGGTTTTTTTTAATAAACAAACCAACCAAGTCACCAAAGCACAATTTGAAACACTGCTTATTTGGAGATTTCTGCTGAGATACAAGTTGAGTCTCTAATTCTTACCTGGGACAAAACTTCAGAAAATCTCATTTTCGATCCAAAGCAGATAGTTTTGAAACCTTAAGAGGATTTGCTGGACAGGAAAACTGTTGTGCAGTTCCACTATCCACTAACAATTCATAAAGATACAGAAACAGATGTATGCCCAATAAATGTTTGGGAATACCTACTCCAGGTTCAGAGCAAGTAAGGTATTCAGTTTTACATATTCCTTCCAGATGAAATCAAAGAGCTCTATAATTTAATCCATTAGTTAATGGATTAAATGCATATTTTACTCATAGCCAATAAGCTCATTCTAGAAAGCGAAATGCTTTCTTTAGCACATATTGACTAATAAAAAAAGCCTGTGTAACTTCCTAATAAAAAGTCGTATTTTTATTTATAAAATGGTAATTTCTCACATTCTTCCCATGGCAGAATGGAATATAGAAAATCCTGCAACAACAAATAACGTAAAAAAAATTAGGTAGGAAGGCGAGAGGCTCCATAAGTCTGTGTTGGTGACAATGTGATTTCTCTCTTATGCGTCTTGTCCATTTCACTCTGTATCACAAGTTCATTTGATAACTTTAGATGATTTAATTTTCTTTATGTCATAGCTTTGCAGAACCAAGGTCCCATCTCTGAATTTTCCAACTTGTCCTGCAGGCCAAATGCTAGGCACTGATTTCTTCCTTTTGGCCTTCCTGAAACAGGAAGAGGCAAAAAAAGAATTAAGATAAATGACAGAAACTCATTAAAATGTTTTAATATGGTGAAAAATGTCACCTATTTATGCAATCAGTGTTTGGTATTGTGGTATATCAAATCATACCAGGTAATGACCCCAGAACGTTTATTCTCTGCATAGCCATTCAAAATTTGCAGCACGTTATGAATGACTTACATTTACAAGAAGCTGTGTGGTGCAGTTGACACCCTGGAGGGAAGGGATGCCATCCAGAGGGACCTTGACAGGCTTGAGAGGTGGGCCTGTGCAAACCTCATGAAGTTCAACAAGGCCAAGTGCAAGGTCCTGCATGTGGGTCGGGGCAATCCAAAGCACAAATACAAGCTGGGAGGAGAATGGACTGAGAGCAGCCCTGAGGAAAAGGACTTGGGGGTGTTGTCTGAGAAGCTGAACATGAGCCAGCAATGTCTGCTTGCAGCCCAGAAACCAACCATGTCCTGGGCTGCATCAAAAGAAGTGTGACCAGCAGGTCGAGGGAGGTGATTCTCCCCCTCTGCTCCACTATCCTGAGACCCCACCTGGAGTACTGCATCCAGCTCTGGAGTCCTCAGCACAGGAAAGACCTGGACCTGTTGGAGCAGGTCCAGAGGAGGGTCACAAAAATGACCAGAGGGCTGAAGCACCTCCCATATGAGGACAGGCTGGGACAGTTGGGGTTGTTCAGCCTGGAGAAGAGAAGGCTCCGGGGAGACCTTATAGCAGCCTTCCAGTACTTAAAGGGGGCTACAGGAGAGATGGGGAGGCACTCTTGATCAGGGAGTGTAGTGACAGGACAAGGTAATGGTTTTAAGCTGAAAGAGGGTAGATTTAGATTAGATATTGGGAAGAAATTTTTTCCTGCGAGGGTGGTGAGGCACTGAAACAGGTCGCCCAAGAAGCTGTGGATGCCCCATCCCTGGAGGTGTTCAAGGCCAGGCTGGATGAGGCTTTGAGCAACCTGGTCTGGTGGGAGGTGTCCCTGCCCATGGCAGGGGGGTTGGAACTTGATGATCTTTAAGGTCCCTTCCAACCCAAACCATTCTATGGTTCTATGATTTTAAAATCAAGTTCAGAAACACAAAGACTTTTGGATAGAGAAAGAAGATAAAGAGTACATTTCAGTGGACCTGCTACACTATGATTAATAATGCCCCTTTACCTTTCAACTCTCTGTATACTGTAGCTTGTGTTTTGCAGAAATTATTTCTCAGGGCAAACGCTCCGAGTAAGCAGCATTACCCTGGGTCTGCATGCAGGGATTTCCATCCATCTCACCTCCAGCTGCATTATTAGACATGTCGGGGCAGAACTGACATATCTTCAGTTAAGCTGTGTAACTAAAGCCTGTGAAACTGCTAGACACAGAGCAACGTCACCACTTTGTGACTGAGTTCTTCTGCAGTTGGAGAAGTTCCTTCCACTGTGATCTCCATGGCTTCTGGTATAAGACTGTGCATAGCTACATAGGGGAAATACACTGAAGAAGCTATACAAAAGCAAGTTAATTTTAACCATGTTAAAAGCTGCTCACCTCTCCTTTTGTTCCCTCTTCTTCTTCTTCTTAAGAGAATCATCTTTATGTTCCTGTTTTTAAAGATACGTATTTTAATGGAAAAGGAATAGAGCATCTTGGCTAAACAACCCTCTGCACACAAAACATGTGGTAGCCTTTGCTTCACAGAGCAGCAGGCATTTAAAGCAGGGTGGGAGACCTTCTGACAAGTGATGCAACACTGCTAGGAGTGCCCAGAGCCCTTCCTGTTACCTTATGGAAAGTACAGCCCACTCACGACCAACACGCTGCCCCGGCCACGTGAGGAGGCACAAATCCAGCAACGGAAGGGGAGAGAGGCTTGCTTCTTTGGCATGTGACAGATCCTTGGGTCAAAAGATGGTCTTGCTACCAGGCAGGTGTGCCTAGTGGCCTGACTGAGCATACCTGTCAAATGACAGGGTTCAACCATGTCTGGTCATGCACTGGATGTACTTTTGAGCCACATGACAGAGGAGCAGAAGTAGGTCCCCTGAAAAAAAAACAGGCTGATATAGCAATTATCCGCCCCACAGCCTGCTCCCACCTACATGAGAAGGCTCCATGGGGAGGCAGGGAGTAGGCTTGGAGCCAGATGGGCCATGCTAGAGGATGGATGCAACAGAAACCTCACCCTTGCTTTAAATAACAAGCAAGATCCTAGATGGAATTGTGCTGATATAAAACCAGCTGAAGATCCGGCTCTCTGCGGTTAGATAACATGTAAGAAACTTTAATTCAACACCATTTTTTTCCCCTTAAGAGGCTAGGAAAAAAAAAACCCTGCTGATTTTGTGTCAGTCTTATCAGCCTCAAATGATGAGGCAGTGAAACCCACCACAACACAAGCCTAACTCTGGGCCCTTCATACTGCACACAACCAGCCTTTACTGTGACATTAGTCCTGCTGGAGCCAGGAACCCACTCCATAGGGAGCAGCAGGTGTCAGTCTTGGGTGCTCCTCCTGTGCCTGAGGCATTATCTGTCAGGCTCTTGGGCTAGCTCTTACATGCTGTCTTCATATAGAGAAAGTGTCACACAAACCTTTCCCTTATCATCATCCTTCAGTGCTTTTTTCTCTTTCATTTTCTCTTGGTAGGTCTTGTAGTTCACATGTTCCTTTTTGGGGGGCTGCAATAATAATAATAATTTTCAAATAGGTTCAAAAAATATTCACACACTTGCATGGACAATATTTTTCAGGTGGTGCTAGGGAAACATTATAAATGGTTTATTTCCTTTTGGGTGAGAAGAAGGGATGTAAGGCAGACCCATAGAGACCATGTATTTCTTGGTGGAGACAGTAGAGAGGGATGTTTATGCTCTGTATCAATCCTACAAGTTTTCCACATACACACTGAGCTGGAAAGAATAACCCATACCCCTCCCCACCCCCCGAAAAAGACCTACAAAAATTTTTTTTTTCTTTTACATTACTCATGATAAATAAAACTGATTTTTTTTCCTCCATCTTTAACTCACTGGGAGAGCGAAGCTTTAAAAAGCAAGCCCCTGCCTCCAAAAATTTAGTTTTGAATGGCCTGATTAAAAATCAGTAAATATTGTTTTCCACCCCCATCAGTCTTATTTCATCTATACAACTTCTATGATAACACAACCACACTAATTTTCCAAATGTTCACAGAAACTAGACAAGACTGAATAGAAAATGTAAAAGTAAGGATGAAGTGGGAGGAGGACCAGGGTGGGGGATCCTGTGTTTTAAAAAAGCAGTGCCACACCCTCACCAATATTTTTTACTGCTTTCCTGCACTGTAACAGCTGGGTGACCGTTCAGCACTAACCAAGTGACAATTACCTTGGCTCCCAGCATGATAGCACGCTCCTGTTCCCATGCACGTTGTTCCTGCTTCTTGTAGCCAGTGATTCCAAACTTGTGCACTTCCAGACGAGCCTAGAACATTACAGAAAATTGCCAGAATTTTGTAATTTGTCCAGCCCGTTGTAAAATAACAGTTGACACACCACAACAAAGTCATACTCCCAAAGAAACCCTGGCTAATACCTTAACTCAGGGTGCTAGAACACAAAACTGAGTGAGTTTGGAGCTATACTGCAGAACAGTTATCCACTGCCCGTCTTATCTCTGGATGGTGAGGACTGCCAGGGGGACAATTTTGAATTCTCCTAATTTCACAGAAAACAACACATGGAACAGGCCTCTTCTGTATAAAAATGAATCATGCTGTGCTGCACAAAGAACAACGAAACCTGCTACCCACAGCACCCAGTGTTACAGAGTGTCTTCGTTCCTTGGCTGCAGAGCACTTAACCAGGGAGAAACATGGATGGACAGGTGGTGAAGTGGTTGGACTACACATATACCTAGAATTGACACTATACAATAATATCCTGACAAAACCATTGGTGAATTTACAATCTTTTTAAAGGCAGTGGTTAAATCCCCACTGTTCTCTGCAGTATGGAGCTCCACGCAGAATCTCCAGTGGGAGACTTCACTGGATCACAGCACATCCCTGAGCAGAGGTCAGGCACATAAAACAAAGTGCACAGATCTCTAAATGAATCAGTATCTAAGGGTGCCAATGCTACTTGCACTCATATAAGAACAGATAAGAACAAAAAGACAAACAGGAAAAAAAAGTCATCTGCTGTTTCCAAAATGGATGCCAATACGCTTTTTTTTTCCCCTCCCACATGAGATCAGAAATCCAAGATTACCACCGTTGGCCTGAAAGAGCTATGCTATACATTTCAGGTACTCACACAGCTTTACACAGCTAACGCACAGTGACCCTCCTCAAATTCTCACTGAAGATCAAAAAGAAAGGCCACAGAGTTCTAACGTACCTCTCTTCACACAGAGCAATTGACAACAGCCAGCATGCTCCTCCTTTGGCATGGCACACAGACAACATTACCCATTAGGAAATCCTCACCTAAAGGGGATAACCTTTTCTGGAAGCGTTTCCCATCAGTTCCACCATACCTTTCCCAAGGATATAAAAACACACACCTGCACACTAAAATAATGAGATTAGATAGGTCCTGTTGACTTACTTTTTCAAAGTTAAATTCTTGCTTGTTCGCATTTTTCTCTTGATCTGCTATTTTGGTCTATAAACAAAATGAAACACTTCAAATTAATATAACAAGTAACACCAGTTGAAATGTGATAGTTGTGATAGTTTTTTTGGAAAGCAGTGAAATATAAAGTGAGTTATCAGGAAGAGTATACAGCTTTCCAGCAGTGTGCTTTTCTAGCTTTACTACCTGGATTTATTAAAAGAGGCAGACTCAATGGCATATTTAATATGTAGATATTATGGGGTCTTACTGGAACAACCTTGCACAGATTATAGGGTACCATTATAGTACAGTGCATATAGCTTTGTCCTGCATTTTCTTGCCTGGATCATCTTCTAACATTAACAAAGAGTTTCATAATTCAGAAAGATATTAATAGCTACAATTAATGTTTATACCTTCAAGTATAAATTACATTGTTTATGAGAAAAACTGCCACACATGAGCTAAGCAGCACAGATATTTCCATGTCCAAATGAGTACCAAACTGCTAATGCAGGAGAGGAGGTGAACTTTAAGTCACTTTGTTTGAGTCAGAGTGCAGTGACAATAGCACACATACCAATAGCTGGTGGCAACACGCACAACAAGCTTAATTCGTAACTGCATGGACATGTATCAGTGCACATATCCATCTTAATTAAAACAAGAGAAACAGGTCCAAAGGAAGCACTGTCAGCAAACAGCAGACCCCACTTCACACTGTTTAAAGAAACTACTTGCTCAAAGTGAGATGAACAAAAAGTACACCTTTTCTACTCCGTGATTTACACAGAGACTTCCCATCAGCAGTTCTCAGTTTGGAGGGGAACTCTCCAGGGAGGACAGGTTGTATCTTAGGACAAAAAAGAAGTGTAAAATCTTGAGGGAGAGCTCCACACCTGCTTGCTACAGGAGCACCGCACATGGGACACTTCAGAGTAGTAACAAATCTCCCAGGGTTATTTTAGTTTGTGTGCAACTCCTGATTTCAGGGAGGATGTGCTGAACCACTTCTCTGAGCAGATGCTCTGCCTGCTCCCAAGCGTGCTGATGCAGGCAGAAAGCACTGGCAGGGAAACTGTGCTCTGTTCAAGAGTAGCATCCCCTTACCTTTCCCTGTTTACTCTCAAGGACACTCTATTCCCTCTGAGGAAGCAGGAGTAATTAATGTGTATTTAAACTGAACCTGAATGCTTTTAACGCATTGCTTATTCACATCTCCAGGATGTTAAGTCACGTTGAGTCACAGATTCAGGTCCCAGGGTTACATCAGGGCTTCCCTCTGCATCCACCAGAGCCAAATCCAAACTTGTCTCAACTCTACAAAAGCGTCTATATAAAAATTGCCCATTTTGATCAGAAAAAAAAGGGTTATTTTCAGACCATTTTAATAACAAGCCTAACACCAGTCTTTTCGTGCAGAAAAACTTAAGTCATAAAGCACATGAGAAAATAAAAATCTACAGCCATTTTTAGAGTAAAACAAGCTGGAAAAAGAATAAAAAATTATGGATTCAACCAATTGCTTGGTCAGTCTGTTGACTTGCCCAATTCCAAGCACTCAAACCCCAGATAGCAGTAAGTCTCCCTGAATTCAAGACAGACATGTGTTGGCCCATCAGAGCTTATTTTAGAATTGGGCTTCTGATGTTATGGCCATAAACACAACTCAAAGGAAACAAACAGAGAACCTCTAGGATCTGGAGACTAACCAGCTAGCAAGGGACCCTCTGCTCAGCATGGAAGGCAGCTCTGCTTGCAGACAAGCCTAATGCGGGCCTCCCTGTTGAGGCAACTCGGCTACAGTTTTTGGCAGCACACGGGAATTTAGCACCTACAAACCAAACCAGAGGACTGAGATCTAACGCTGCCATGCCTTCCCCCATCGACCACCCAACACTGGTCCTCCAACATGCACATTACTTGTGAGCAGCCAAGTGCTTCTGTGATGCCAGAGAAGAGAAGGAAGCTTTAGCACCTCACATCCACACCTATTCACAAGAACAGAGCAGCACACAAAATGCTGAGACAGAGAAGTAGCCAAGAGGCTTTGGTTTCTATTTCATTCACTTCTTGCTGTACCGGCAGTCCTATCTGCAGACCAACTTATGTTGTTGGGATACACCTGTTTCAAATACAGGATATTAATCCAGAGATCTTCCGAAACTGGAAAAAGAGTCTTCAAGTGCTGCCCCCACCCTGCCAGCAGCTCTGTCGGGAATCTGGAAGAGGGGATGCCACCAAAAGGAGCACACAGTTTGCCGAAGGATCCTGGATTCACAGGCAGCTGTATCAGCAAAAGGGAAGAAACTAGGCACGGGCGGGGGGGGGAATTAGGGACGGTATCTCACAACGTATGGCGGCAGGCTGTGGAGACAGCAAAAATAAACCCCCAAAAAACTAATCGTGCAGAGGGTTTTGATTGTTTTTAACTGTCACCAGGAAGGGGCATCCCATCCCAGCACCTGCTCAGCACAGAATGG